CCCTTTGGAAAAAAAAAACGAAATCGATGGTGTATATCGGACCATAATTGACCCTACAAAAATTCAAAAATTATGGAATTAAAATAAAATTCCGCGTTTTACTACTTTAAATTCTGTAGAGCCCGGCTGATAACTAAATCAAGCCTATTAAACTCCTAAAATATAAATCCTAATATAGGATCATTGGTGGTGGGTATATAAAATTCGGTATAGCCGAATATAACACTATAATAAAGATTTTCTACTAAGGTATTTTTCTTCGTTTGACGTTTGATATGTATTTCACACAGAAAAAAAGTCAACTGTCATGATCAACTAATCGTCATTTCCCTTGCTTGATAGACGGATATATGCACATAAAATATTGAATGTTATATGCCTTACTCATTTGTATGAGTTAATTGATCAGAAAAATATTGAGAATCTTTTTCAAAACATAGGTACTCATTTCCATCGTAGATGAGAGAGAAACCATAATGTGCAATATCATCAGGAGATCGGTACATACATAATATGTACTTATATCTTTTGCAAGTTATTGTCCTCAACCGACAATAGTATGGAGGTATTATATACGGGTTCTGCAGTTCCTATAAACAAGCGATTCTTAGATAAATTCGAAACGAAAATAATGATAATATGGAATATATATACATACATCTGGGTTTATAGCGCAGTATTAATATGAATACGAAATTTATGAGAATTATATAAACTTGGCATTAATTAGAGAGTATTACAATACTTTATCTTTTTGATCAAAACATATATGTTCAATTCACAATCGATGTTGTAGCGTTGTATGCGTTGTATGTCAGCAGCTGCTACAATAGTCATAACAATGTTGTTGGTATTTTCTATGCAAAAGCTCTATACAACTCCTACGACAATTTTTCATATGTTTTTCGAATGTTGTAAGAAATTTTAGTGTTGCCAATTGTTTATTTCAACATATAAACAAAAAATTCAAACGATTTTAGCATAAAAAACGATAAAGTGGTAACACTGAAATCAAAAACAAACAGCTGTTTACCAAAACAACAAAAAAAACTAAAATTTTATTAAAAATAGTTTATTTATTAGTTTAAAATGTGGAATAAAAAAATAAAAGAATTGAAAATTCAAACAAATTAATTTGGTTTATTTCGCAAGTTTAATTAATTTAATATTTTTTGATTTTTTTATACTTTCACATTGTTATGTATATTTGTTTTGATTATTTTTTTTCCATTGAGAACATAAACTTATGACTTTCTGCAAAGATCTGTTCACAATCACTGTTACTACACTTTAGTAGGTACAATATACAACTTGATTGTGAATTGAACAATAGAGTTTCATCTTAACTGACATATTAACGTCTTACCGATTTGCCACACAATCCACTAATTTGAGGCGTTCAAGCGTAAAAGCTATTTGCATGGGGGCTATATTGTTTGGGGGGCTTATTGTTTGCAATTTTTAAAATAATGACAATTTTCAATAGATTAATCGATTAATTTTAATCAATTAATTGCAAAAAATTATAAAAAAATATCAATTTTACAAGTATTAATGCCGGTCTTATTAAACAACATATTTGTTGATAAAAATTATAAATTTTGGATGATTTTATTTTAATAATAAAATAAAGAACAATACATTTTTAATATTATTTGAATTAACTTTTCTATTTTTATAAAAAAATTAAATACTTTATAATGCAATACAAAAGATTAACCATTAAAAAATTATTAACTAATTTTATGCGTATCAAGGAATTCTGGATATACATATGTATATTGAAAACTAATTAAACAAAATTTCAAATTCAAAATTACAATCAAAATAAATAAATACTAAGGTCTATTTATTTTTTGAAATCGTAATCAAGTTTATGAAAGTTATTAAAGTAAATTATTTACATGATCGTTTTTTTTTTCAGTAAAATTTCAATAACTTTATAAAAAACTAGTTGCAATTATTTCATATATTTTGCAATTTAATTAAACAAATTGTACGTACTATGAGCTTTTATTAGTGTAAAAATATTACATTTAATGCAAGGTAAGCTTTAAATTTCAAGAAAGTATGTTAGAATCTGAATTCTAATACTTTGGCACGTACTGCAATGTTCTTAAAACGTATTTAAGTGAAACAATATCCACTATATGAGACCCTACTATAGACTGGACTAAAGACTAGACTAGAGACTATACTATAGACTAGACTATAGACTAGACTATAGACTAGACTATAGACTAGACTATAGACTAGACTATAGACTAGACTATAGACTAGGTTATTGACTAGACTATAGACCAGACTATAGACCAGACTATAGACTAGACTATAGACTAGACTATAGACTAGACTATAGACTAGACTATAGACTAGACTATAGACTAGACTATAGACTAGACTATAGACTAGACTATAGACTAGACTATAGACTAGACTAGACTATAGACTAGACTATAGACTAGACTATAGACTAGACTATAGACTAGACTATAGACTAGACTATAGACTAGACTATAGACTAGACTATAGACTAGACTATAGACTAGACTATAGACTAGACTATAGACTAGACTATAGACTAGACTATAGACTAGACTATAGACTAGACTATAGACTAGACTATAGACTAGACTATAGACTAGACTATAGACTAGACTATAGACTAGACTATAGACTAGACTATAGACTAGACTATAGACTAGACTATAGACTAGACTATAGACTAGACTATAGACTAGACTATAGACTAGACTATAGACTAGACTATAGACTATAGACTAGACTATAGACTAGACTATAGACTAGACTATAGACTAGACTATAGACTAGACTATAGACTAGACTATAGACTAGACTATAGACTAGACTATAGACTAGACTAGACTATAGACTAGACTATAGACTAGACTATAGACTAGACTATAGACTAGACTATAGACTAGACTAGACTATAGACTAGACTATAGACTAGACTAGACTAGACTAGACTAGACTATAGACTAGACTAGACTATAGACTAGACTAGACTAGACTAGACTATAGACTAGACTATAGACTAGACTATAGACTAGACTATAGACTAGACTAGACTAGACTATAGACTAGACTATAGACTAGACTATAGACTAGACTATAGACTAGACTATAGATTAGACTATAGACTAGACTATAGACTAGACTATAGACTTAGACTATAGACTAGACTATAGACTAGACTATAGACTAGACTATAGATTAGACTATAGACTAGACTATAGACTAGACTATAGACTAGACTATAGACTAGACTATAGACTAGACTATAGATTAGACTATAGACTAGACTATAGACTAGACTATAGACTAGACTATAGACCAGACTATAGACTAGACTATAGACCAGACTATAGACTAGACTATAGACCAGACTATAGACTAGACTATAGACTAGACTATAGACTAGACTATAGACTAGACTATAGACTAGACTATAGACTAGACTATAGACTAGACTATAGACTAGACTATAGACTAGACTATAGACTAGACTATAGACTAGACTATAGACTAGACTATAGACTAGACTATTGACTAGACTATAGACTAGACTATAGATTAGACTATAGACTAGACTATAGATTAGACTATAGACTAGACTATAGACTAGACTATAGACTAGACTATAGATTAGACTATAGATTAGACTATATACTAGACTATAGACTAGACTATAGACTAGACTATAGACCAGACTATAGACTAGACTATAGACTAGACTACAGACTAGACTATAGACTAGACTATAGACTAGACTATAGACTAGACTATAGACTAGACTATACACTAGACTATAGACTAGACTAGACTAGACTAGACTAGACTATAGACCAGACTATAGACTAGACTATAGACCAGACTATAGACTAGACTATAGACTAGACTATAGACTAGACTATAGACTAGACTATTGACTAAACTATAGACTAGACTATTGACTAAACTATAGACAATACTAAACTATAGACAAGACTAGACTATAGACAAGACTAGACTATAGACAAGACTAGACTATAGACAAGACTATACTATAGAGTAGACTATAGATTGGACTTTAGAGTAGAATATAGACTAGACTACACTATTGAGTAAACTACAGACTAGACTATGCTGTAGACTAGAATGAACTATAAACTGGTGTACTGACTACTAAATATGTATGTGGACTATTTATCAAAAGTTTATAAGTTAGAAAAGTTACCGAAAATGTCGTGGGCGTACCGTGGTATTTTTGGTATCAAAAAGTAGTGAAAAAAGGACTGAATTTTCTATGTCTGAAGTGTTTCTTTAAATTAAATGGTCGGATAGGTATTCTAACAAACAACAGCTCAATGATATATAGTTGATTAGTATACAATATTAAAGATCTAAATTTTCAAATGTAGTATAATATATGTACGTATCTGTTATTTATAAAATAATTTGTATTTATTATAATAAAGTAACATTAACTATTTATATATAATTCGAACATAATTGATAATTTAGTTTAATGATCTTTGAGTCAAACAATCAACTATTTTAAAATTGGCAGCCTATCTGGTAAATAGTTTATAACAAGTTTATTGCTGTAATTTACTAATACAACACCATTTCGATTTGTATTTCAGAAATACATAACTAATTGTATCAAAGATTTAAAAGTTATAATTCCATATTATTGAAATCGAATTATCTTTTTAAGAATTATAAATTCTTTATTCGATGAGATTTAATTCAGGAAATTAATTGACTTAATTTTTGAAATGGTTTTATATAAAAATGCATAACAGTTAGACAATTTCAAACCAAAAAATAGAAATTTCTTAAGCACAAATGGAAAAGGTGTAGTAATTTTTTTTATTTCATAATAAACACTCAAATACTTTCTACTATTCAAACATGTGAATTTAACAAAAAACAAATAAAAAAATTTCGTTGTTTACATTAGGTCGTTGCTAAATATGTATTGCGCTACTTACTGTCTAAATAATTTATCATTGTAGTAAGTGGGCAGTTCCATTTCATAACCGCTATCACCCTCTTTGCAGCCGTCATTTAATAAATGATCTAAATAAGCTTGAGCTTTTGGATTTTCTTCGGCGGTTTCGGTTGCATCATTGTTATGATTATCAAATCCATTGCAATCTTCACCTAAAAAAAACACGAGGAAAAAACAAAAAAAAAATGCACTTTATTTGAAAATATTTTTTAAAATTTATCTCAATCAACTGTGACAAAACTGTTACAATAAAACTCTCTGCTGTAACTAACATCCCAGCGGTAAATGAAACAAAGTACTTAGATAATATTCGATGACATCAGTATGACGTTCTAAGCGAGCAATCTAAGTACTTAGAGTGCAATGTATGCGTAATCCAACATATCATGCACTTTAATTATAACATAGATTACGATTTAAGCAGAGAGTTAGCTGCCTTTTTCATTTTGTTTTTTGTTTTTATTTCTTAAAAAAAAACCTAAAGTACCGTTTTATTTTTCTTTTGTATACTACATGAAAAGAAGAATCTTTTTGTATCAGTTTAAAGTTGATCTTTTGTAAGTGAAGTTGTATTTTGTTAAAAAAGTTATTTTATTGTAAAAATTTAAAATAATTGTGGTGATCTAAACGGCAGAAATGGATTTAAAAATTGGTGTAAATTTATTTCATACATTCTAGTTTTAATACTGATAATTTCCTCCTGATTGTTTACAGGATCTGTAAAGGAAGATGGCCAAAAGTTTCAAAAGAAAATTAAGATTAATTTCATTTATCTTCGTTAAAATTGTTTAATTATATTTTTATTGAATTAACTATAATACATGTTTATTATTTGATAATCATTTTTAAATAAACTTACATAATTTTAAAATAAATATAAAAAAATATATATTTTTTCTATAACAAAAAGGGAAGACAAATGCAAATAGGATTGTAATCTACATACATTACATTACTATTTGCAAGCGTTTATAGGCGTCTCATTAACTTCGCTTAGAACTCCACACATTATGTAAGTGAAATTTTAATTTGTCCTAATGATATTGTGGCTTACATTCTAAGCGAGAGCACATCGATGTGGCAGCCTAGGACACTTTTATGTTAAATCTAAGTAGAAGAATAAGTGAAAGCATCACCACTGACTGCCACGAAATATCACTTAGATAAGCGAGTACATAATGTATATTTTTACCGCTGGGATATTCATGTTTTTGTTTTTGTTTTGATTTTGTTTTATCTTTTTATTCAAGAGAAAGTTTTCTCTTCTGTACATTTTTTTTACATTTCAATGTTTGTTGTTATTATTATTTACTAGTGTTGTTATTGTATTTCTTGTTGTTTTTTTATTTCACTTGTTTTTAAGCACTCATTTTATTAAAAAAAATATAAACAACACCTTTTAAATTAAATGAAGAAGAACTTTGTTTTTTTTTTGTATTATGTTGTACCCACCTTCATTTAGTTTATTTGCATTACTTAAGTTATTCGTATTTTCCATTTTTATTAAATTAATTTTTAACTAATATTAAAGCCATTTATTTATTGTTTAATTTACATCTATTGCTAATGCAATAGTTTGAAGAAGTATTGATTATTCGAAGCAATTTTATCTATAACAAAAGAAATATTTTTAAAAAACGTTAGACCAACTAACTACTTGCAGCGACTGACGTCTGGTTTAGCACTAATGTGTTATGTTATAAAACTGAGTATTTTTGTATTTATTTATATTAACATCCAACATATTGTTGCTATTTTGCAGAGCAGCTAACATTAATGTTACTGTTAGTTTAACTTTGCTGTTAATGTTGTTTTGTGTGCATCCTGAAAATATGCAATTTATATTTGTCATATTTGCATTGTAGAGAATGAAATGTATGAGTTGATTTTGTAATTAGGGAATTTGACATTATAGCCGAAATATTTATTCAGTACCAAGCCAAGTAAGGACCTATAACCCTAACTACTTAAACGATTGGAACGGATAGTCGATAGCATAATATCGGACAATGACTTGCAGTATAGGAAAATGCAAACAAAGGGCTGAATAGTCTGCATAGATAGATAGATAGGATAGTAGATAGATAGATAGATAGATAGATAGATAGATAGATAGATAGATAGATAGATAGATAGATAGATAGATAGATAGATAGATAGATAGATAGATAGAAATAGATAGATAGATAGATAGATAGATAGATAGATAGATAGATAGATAGATCGATAGATAGATAGATAGATAGATAGATAGATAGATAGATAGATAGATAGATAGATAGATAGATAGATAGATAGATAGATAGATAGATAGATAGATAGATAGATAGATAGATAGATAGATAGATAGTAGATAAGATAGATAGATAGATAGATAGATAGATAGATAGAAGATAGATAGATAGATAGATAGATAGATAGATAGATAGATAGATAGATAGATAGATAGAGATAGATCGATAGATAGATAGATAAGATGAGATAGATAGATAGATAGATAGATAGATAGATAGATAGATAGATAGATTAGATAGATAGATAGATAGATAGATAGATAGATAGATAGATAGATAGATAGATAGATAGATAGATAGATAGATAGTCGATAGATAGATAGATAGCTAGATAGATAGCTAGATAGATAGATAGATAGATAGATAGATAGATGATAATAGATAGATAGATAGATAGATAGATAGATAGATAGATAGATAGATAGATAGATAGATAGATAGTAGATAGATAGATAGATAGATAGATAGATAGATAGATAGATAGATAGATAGATAGATAGATAGATAGATAGATAGATAGATAGATAGATAGATAGATAGATAGATAGATAGATAGATAGATAGATAGATAGATAGATAGATAGATAGATAGATAGATAGATAGATAGATAGATAGATAGATAGATATAGATAGATAGATAGATAGATAGATAGATAGATAGATAGATAGATAGATAGATAGATAGATAGATAGATAGATAGATAGATAGATAGATAGATAGATAGATAGATAGATAGATAGATAGATAGATAGATAGATAGATAGATAGATAGATAGATAGATAGATAGATAGATAGATAGATAGATAGATAGATAGATAGATAGATAGATAGATAGATAGATAGATAGATAGATAGATAGATAGATAGATAGATAGATAGATAGATAGATAGATAGATAGATAGATAGATAGATAGATAGATAGATAGATAGATAGATAGATAGATAGATAGATAGATAGATAGATAGATAGCTAGATAGATAGATAGATAGATAGATAGATAGATAGATAGATAGATAGATAGATAGATAGATAGATAGATAGATAGATAGATAGATAGATAGATAGATAGATAGATAGATAGATAGATAGATAGATAGATAGATAGATAGATAGATAGATAGATAGATAGATAGATAGATAGATAGATAGATAGATAGATAGATAGATAGATAGATAGATAGATAGATAGATAGATAGATAGATAGATAGATAGATAGATAGATAGATAGATAGATAGATAGATAGATAGATAGATAGATAGATAGATAGATAGATAGATAGATAGATAGATAGATAGATAGATAGATAGATAGATAGATAGATAGATAGATAGATAGATAGATAGATAGATAGATAGATAGATAGATAGATAGATAGATAGATAGATAGATAGATAGATAGATAGATAGATAGATAGATAGATAGATAGATAGATAGATAGATAGATAGATAGATAGATAGATAGATAGATAGATAGATAGATAGATAGATAGATAGATAGATAGATAGATAGATAGATAGATAGATAGATAGATAGATAGATAGATAGATAGATAGATAGATAGATAGATAGATAGATAGATAGATAGATAGATAGATAGATAGATAGATAGATAGATAGATAGATAGATAGATAGATAGATAGATAGATAGATAGATAGATAGATAGATAGATAGATAGATAGATAGATAGATAGATAGATAGATAGATAGATAGATAGATAGATAGATAGATAGATAGATAGATAGATAGATAGATAGATAGATAGATAGATAGATAGATAGATAGATAGATAGATAGATAGATAGATAGATAGATAGATAGATAGATAGATAGATAGATAGATAGATAGATAGATAGATAGATAGATAGATAGATAGATAGATAGATAGATAGATAGATAGATAGATAGATAGATAGATAGATAGATAGATAGATAGATAGATAGATAGATAGATAGATAGATAGATAGATAGATAGATAGATAGTAGATAGATAGATAGATAGATAGATAGATAGATAGATAGATAGATAGATAGATAGATAGATAGATAGATAGATAGATAGATAGATAGATAGATAGATAGATAGATAGAAGATAGATAGATAGATAGATAGATAGATAGATAGATAGATAGATAGATAGATAGATAGATAGATAGATAGATAGATAGATAGATAGATAGATAGATAGATAGATAGATAGATAGATAGATAGATAGATAGATAGATAGATAGATAGAAGATAGATAGATAGATAGATAGATAGATAGATAGATAGATAGATAGATAGATAGATAGATAGATAGATAGATAGATAGATAGATAGATATATAGATAGAGATAGCCTAAGAAGCAAGTGCAACGAGAATATGTACATATTTATATCCCTGCTCTTAATGAATGTCTAACAGTAGCAGAAAGAATTAGACAGTCTTCCCTTCCTCATCGCTATTACAACTTCTGCAGTAATCGAGATCCAGTCTCATAATTAGCTCTTGCAGCTCTCAATGTAGTTTAATTAATTGCCTAATGAATTAATTCCTATGGAATCTTGCTTTTTATTGAATTCAAATTGAATTAACATATTTTGCAACCTTTTCCATTGCTTTTAAATTTTTGAATGCTAAAAGTTGATTGTAATTCTTTTTTGAATTTTATTACCATGTATGTTTTTCTCAAACAAAAACAAAAAGCATCCGGCTTTTAAAAACATGATTTCCTTCCATTCCATTTCTTAAAAAAACCAACATCATTTTAATATTGTTTTTAAATTTTTGCCTTTATTATGTATTTATTATTATTTACTAAAAATTTGTTGCTAAATGTAATTTATTTATTAATAATAATTTAAATGGCATTTAACAATGGTTAAACATTTGTTATTTAAAAAAATTATCGCTGTTTTTTTACATTTATGGGATTTAACTACTTTCAAACACCACGTTTAATATCAATAATATTTTTCAATCAATTAAAACAAATTTAAATTATTTTTTATTTAGTTTTTAGTAAAGTGATGTTTTTAGAGAAATAAACATTTGTAGTTAAATCCCAATAATTAACACAATTATTATAATTAAAGTTTAAAGATTTTAATTTTTTAAAAAATATATTTACAATTATTTACTAATTAAGATTATAAAATAAATTAAATAATTAGAAATATCGAAAGAAACCTATGAGATAAAAATTTCTAGAAAGATAAATTAAGTAAAAGCTTAAATGGCAAGAAAGAAGAAAAAAATTAATGTATAAATTATACATAGCAATAGGTTATTAATAATATTGTTGCATTTGAATTGTAATTTTATAAATAAAATTATTTTCCTAAAATGTTATTAGTCAATTGTTTTAAATTTATTAGATGCAATTAGAAAATACTTAAAATATTTTTGTTTTTCAATGCTTTCAACGAAATGTTTTAAATGAAATGGATATTGTTTTGTTAATGTTTTCAAATTTCTAAACTAAAATGTTGTTTTTATTATAGTTTTTCTATTTTTAAAAAGCATTTCTATAATTAAGTTCATTTTGAATACTTTTATTAGTTAGTTAGTTTTTATAGTAATATTTAACTTAAACAGTCTCCTTTTAAATTATGGGAAATTTCTTTTAAAACTATAGATTTTTATTTGGTTGTGAACTTTATTAATTATAAATATTTGAACTAATTTTAAGATCTTTCAAAAAGTTAGGTTATATTTATGTTTCTAACTTTTGTGTTTGGTTTCTTATCATTTAAAAAAGTTTCAAAATTGTAGTAAAAGTTGCCGGGAAGAGCGAAGAAAAATTTGAGATCGTACTGTTATAATTAAAGATCTCATTGCTGTAGTAATTGTTCTGGAATTAGGCGGGATTATGATTAAACAACAACTTGCTGACTCCGGGAATAACTCGTTAACATTAGCGCTTGAGTGTAATGCCAACTAGACTATAGACTTGACTAAATATTAGACTATAGACTAGACTATAGACTAGACTATAGACTAGACTATAGACTAGACTATAGACTAGACTATAGACTAGACTATAGACTAGACTATAGACTAGACTATAGACTAGACTATAGACTAGACTATAGACTAGACTATAGACTAGGACTATAGACTAGACTATAGACTAGACTATAGACTAGACTATAGACTAGACTATAGACTAGACTATAGACTAGACTATAGACTAGACTATAGACTAGACTATAGACTAGGACTAGACTATAGACTAGACTATAGACTAGACTATAGACTAGACTATAGACTAGACTATAGACTAGACTATAGACTAGGACTATAGACTAGACTATAGACTAGACTATAGACTAGACTATAGACTAGACTATAGACTAGACTATAGACTAGACTATAGACTAGACTATAGACTAGACTA